CGCATGGCGGCCCCGCCCCATTTCGGCACACCCCTCACGAGGATCGTGGCCCCATAGGGAGCTCCACCGAAGGCCCCAGTGGCAGCGTTCGCATGGTGGCCCCGCCCCATTTCGGCACACCCCTCACGAGGATCGTGGCCCCATAGGGAGCTCCACCGAAGGCCCCAGTGGCAGCGTTCGCATGGTGGCCCCGCCCCATTTTGGCGCACCCCTCACAAGGATCGTGGCCCCGTAGGGAGTTCCACCGAAGGCCCCAGTGGCAGCGTTTGCATGGTGGCCCCGCCCCATTTCGGCACACCCCTCACGAGGATCGTGGCCCCATAGGGATCTCAACCGATTGCCCCAGTGGCAGCGTTCGCATGGTGGCCCCGCCCCATTTTGGCGCACCCCTCACGAGGATTGTGGCCCCATAGGGATCTCCACCCATTGCCCCAGTGGCAGCGTTCGCATGGTGGCCCCGCCCTATTTTGGCGCACCCCTCACGAGGATCGCGACCCCATAGGGAGCTCCACCGAAGGCCCCGGTGGCAGCGTTCGCATGGTGGCCCCGCCCCATCTCGGCGCACCCCTCACGAGGATCGCGACCCCATAGGGAGCTCCGCCGAAGGCGCCAATGGCAGCGTTCGCATGGCGGCCCCGCCCCATTTCGGCACATCCCTCACGAGGATTGTGGCCCCATAGGGAGCTCCACCGAAGGCCCCAGTGGCAGCGTTTGCATGGTGGCCCCGCCCCATTTTGGCGCACCCCTCACAAGGATCGTGGCCCCATAGGGAGCTCCACCGAAGGCCCCAGTGGCAGCGTTCGCATGGTGGCCCCGCCCCATTTTGGCACACCCCGCACGGGGATCGTGGCCCCACATGGAGTTCCACCGAAGGCCCCAGTGGCAGCGTTCGCATGGCGGCCTCGGGCCATTTCGGCACACCCCTCACAAGGATCGTGGCCCCATAGGGACCTCCACCGAAAGCGCCAGCGGCAGGGTTCGCATGGCGGCCTCGGGCCATTTCGGCACACCCCTCACGAGGATCGTGGCCCCATAGGGAGCTCCACCGAAGGCCCCAGTGGCAGGGTTCGCATGGCGGCCCGGGGCCACTGCGGCACATCCCTCACGAGGATCGTGGCCCCATAGTTGTGCTGCTTCGACAACCGCGCCTGGGCGTCGTACTCCGCGTTGTCGACGTGCAACGCCACCTCCTCCCTCATGGCTCTCAAGGCCCTCTCCTGCTTCTGCTCCTCGGTGAGAGGGACGCCGTCCTTGTCGTCGTCGGCGCCCGCGAAGACGGCCACGATCGTGTCCCTGAGCATGTCGGGTTCCGGCGGGAAGCCGTGGCCACATAGGGAGCGCGGGCGAAGATGGTATTCACAATTGCGGCATTCACAACTGCGCATGGTTGGGTCCTTCGCCAGGCCAATTTAATTCTCTCGGGTGATACACAGCCGCGGGGTGCTTATATCAATCTGTTATAATTGTTTTCGCGGCTCGCGTTGCTTTTGCTCTTCTTTCTTGTGCTTTTGTTCCCGTCGTGATGATCCATGTTCGCTTGGAGTTGGGCTCCAAGAGCATGGCCGGACATAGGTAATATTTCAGTTTTAGCCTGGAGGGCTCCGGCTCCCCTGGTAGTTCTTCTGACGGCACGCGAGCTCATCTGTTCTGTCCGCCGCGTCCCCTCAGCTTTCCTCGTTCCTTTTTCAACAAAGAACGATGGAACAAAAACAGCTGGATGCGAAGCAGCCTGTCACGCAGCGCACGCACTGCGGAGCGCCAACCACCAGGTATCGGGGCTGTCTGGAGTCCGGAGGGGGGATTTTCTCACAAGTTTGAGGCAGCTGTACTTGGCAATGGTTGAGAGCAGTTGGCCATCATGCTGGCCAAAATCAGGGCGCGAGAGTCTTGGAGGAGGAGGTGGACGATGACGACGATGTCGACGACGACGAACACGACGACTTTCCTCCAGCCAGTATGACCTCCACAGAGTGCGTGCAGGGGGAGGTCCAGGAACGGCAGCGACCCGACTCGAGGAGTCCTCATCCTCCGTTCTTTTGTACTGCAGTTTCGCGTCGTTTCGATGCGGCGGCGACCCCAGTGCACGCGTGCCAGGTTTGGCGCCAGCAGCGGCCCAGGATTGGCCGATACTGAACGATCTGGCGATTGGAAGGCAGTCGATCGTCCAGGGTCGAATCACTCGTGATTCATGTGGTGTCGGTGACCAACGCCGTGTTCGTCACGACGTGAACCAGTCGTAGCTGGTTCCGTTATCTCTCTGTGTTCTTTTCCTCCGCATTCGGAACCATGAGTCTTTTTCTCAATTTCTCGCAAGCAGCCTTGCGGCTCCCACAAACCAGCTGCTTTTCGACGGTCGCCCAGTCACGAACCAGATACGCTGAGAGATCAGGCCAGACAAGGGGTGGCGGCGATGCGATGAGGAATCTGTTGAAGGCTGCGGGTGTGAACGTTTACGAGGGCCTTTTCATCTAGAAGCCGCGTTTTGTCTGTCGCGTTCGCCCGTGTTGTGCGTGACCCGTCGTGCGTGCGAAGTTGTTCGCTTTGCGTGCCTCCATTTCCTTGTTGGGCGCAGGCATGCCAAATGTCTTGTGTCTACTGCCGCTGCTGGTCCGACCGAGTGCGTGACGTGGCTTCACAATATACCCACTGGTGTTCGCGGAGGTATCCCGTGTTGTGAAGTCGTGATGTTTGCAGGGCGTGCGACGCCGTGCCCCGCATTGTCTTATCATGGTTTCGTTGGAGCTACAGTTCACACAATAGACAAGCCGTGAACCCAAAGGCCACCCAGGATTCGATTACACGCGTGCACGCCACGCATGCCTGCAATTGTTTGCGCATCCGCTTGCGACACCAAGCGGCGGGTATGGAGCAGAAAGGCGGTTTCCCCCCCGAGGCCCCACAAATGTAATGGCAGCATTCGAGTGCCCCAGTCCCGCGGCACATGTCCCCGTACCTTCCCAGAGCAGCGTCATTTGGACGGCGCCGCATCGTCGTCAACAGGCGAGAACACATGTCATCGCATCGTCTGCCACTGTCGGGCGAGAGTGCCGAGCGGCTCGAGCCAACCCCCTCCCCCCCTTAGGGCGGCGCGTGGGGGGTGGGTCGCAGGGGGGGTTGCGTGCGAGCTTAACGACCAGACCGTCGGGCAGGCGAGGCGGAATGGGAGTTCACTGCAATGCCCTTGCCGTCGCGTCGCGTCGTCGCACCAGAAACATACATATGCGTGAGTATGTTCACTTAGCGCGCTCCGCTACTCACAAAGTGCCTACTCACAAACGTCAGAAACAGATGTTCTCCTTTGCGTAAGGCATCGTACATCCCACGCGACGGATCCATGCCATTTGCGAGTAGCTATTCTACGAGTAGTGGAACGCGCTTGTCTATATACGCTCGTAACCGAGGAGGGCGGCCCGTTGCACGAGGACCGCGAGAGTGTTGCGCCGAAGTTGATTCCAGAGCATAATCGTGAGGACCTACCTCGTGAAAGGCAGTGCGCGCGGCGCGGGTGGCGCAAGATCAAATTCGGTAAAATAGTTTGCAATCACGAGCTGCCGGGGCAACGATGCTCGGCGACACTTGGGCCGAGCATCGTTGCCACTGCAGCTCGTGATTGCACATGATTGGCATGAGTTGCTGCACGTACGCATGGATGCATCATTGCGTGAATGTGTTGCGAATCGTAGCCACTGAGGCTCGAATCTAGAAGTCGCAAGCGACGTCCTGGAGCCAGGCGGACAAACCGCACAATCACAGCTTGAGAATTCTTTGGTATCATCGTGCGGTCAACGTGTCGGCAAGGTCATAGGGAAAGTGCGTCACTAATTTGTCGAGGCGTCGCGGCTGAGCCCCTCCTCTTCCCTATGCTCCCCCCAGCGCCCCTCGAGGTGCTCACTCCACGTGAGTCACCCTCTCGAGTTGATCTTGTGAGTGCCCGTTCTTGGTGGCGCCTCGGGATGCAACTCTTCGGGGGTTAAATTTAGCACCTGCGCTGGTGTATCAATCCGTGGTCGAAAACTGGCATAATCTGGCACGCTCCTGTGAAATCCCGGTTCAGTGCGCTCCATGTTGCCGAGTCCCCCGCTTAATCGGGCTTGATTGGGCCTTCCAATCGGGCTCAATTGTCTTCCATCGTTGCTACGAAGACCTTCCCAGGAGTTGTTTCCTAAACCTGGCACCCGCTCGAGGTGTTGTCTCTCTCGCTCTCTCTCTCTCTCTCTCTCTCTCTGTCTCTCTCTCTCTCTCTCTCTACGAAGACCACACTCTCGGGGTGATTTGTTGAACGCCCCCTCTTTTTAGGCACCCCCTCGAGAGACGCTCCTGCTTTGGGATCAGCGCCCCGCCTGGGCGTCCGCCCCCGCCCCCCCGCCCCCTGCACGTAAGAGTGGCCCTGCGCCGAGTAGACTTTGGTGCGCGGCTTTGAAACAAAGCGGGGGGTGGGGCCAAGCCAAGTCGGGGAAACCTGAGGCTCGAGCGCCGCGGAACTCGGGTTTACGCGTTTTTTTTTCCAGCGCGTCTTGGATTCTGACGGTCCAGTCTTCGTGGGGTGTTTGCAGCGGGAACTCGCGTCGAATTTCAGATTGGGGCTCGTCAGTTTCATGCTGGACCCGTCAGGCCAACCCGAGCTCCCCGGACCCAAGCCTCGCGTCTCCCCGACCCGAGCTCCGTTGCCGCGACTGTCGCATTGCTTTTTCAGCGATCGGCAAGCCGCGCACCAAAGGTCACTCTTGTCAGCGGCGGGCCCAAGGGGGAAGCGAGAGGGGGCGGGTTCTCTCGGACGGCTGGGAAGTCCCGGGGGCCTTCTGAGACGTTCTCTAAGCCTTTCCCACAGACAGGTAAGACTGCTCAGAAGGCGCGAGGGTTTCTGAGAAGTCCCGCAGCCTTCTCAGAGTCCTTCTCCTTCTCCCTCCCCCCCTCGCTCGTGGCCGACCTTACCCAGCGTCGCTCTTGCCCAGGGTCCCTCTTGCCTGGGGGCACTCCTGCATGCCTCCGACCATCCCGAGGCGCAACGTGACCGGGCCATCGGGGACCTGAAGAGGGGCCGCGCGAGCGTGCTGGTCGCCACCGACGTGGCCGCCCGCGGGCTGGACCTGCCAGGCCTGCGGGCGGGGGCCAGGGGCGCTGGCGGCTCGCGGGCCTCGGTCATACCGAGGCAGAAGATCGACATCGGTTCGGGGAGGGTACCCTTCAGGGGCAACGATAGGGGGGGGATAGGCATAGGGGGGGATGCATCGACCCCCAATCGCACATTGAGCGCCGATAGGGGTCTGATAGCCCATCCCGCCCAGGAAGGTGCGGATTCACTATCGGAGGCCTATCGCCGATTTATCGGCGATGTATGGCCGATTCCAGGTGGATGCATCCCCCCCTATGCCAGTCCCCCCTATCGTTGCCCCTCAACCCTGATGTTCTTCGTGCTTGTTGGGTGTCCTTGCGCATCCTGGGGACGGGTACTGTCGAAGGTTCTTCAGTTTGGCCAGCGGAGGGTCTCACGTTCTTGGAGGATGTTCTCATGTCCTGGGTACGACTGTACGGATCTGTGGCGAAGTATGAGCCATAGCAGGGCTGAGTTGGCCCAGCACCTGGTTCGGAACAAAGGGAGGAGAAAAAGGTACCCTCGTCGCAACGGCCAGACGCGGCTCGAATAATTGGTCAGGTTCGGCAGCACGAAGGGTCCGAGGACCGATTTTGATCGGATGTGCCGTCGTCCCCTCTTGGCAAATTCTCTCAGAGCCCATCCAGCGAAGACCCCCCGGCCGCTTCCAAGAAGTATGAGCCATATTGGGATCCATTCCCAGTCGATCGGTCCGATTCGGTATCGATTCTGGCCAGCTCGATCCGATCCCGACATTCCGGCGATCCTGGTGCGGCCCGATGGTTGCACAGGATTTCTCTTGTGCGTCCTGGCGCGGCCAGTCCGACTCGCTCTCTGCTCCGTGCCGATGCAGCCCGATCCGACGCGCCTTCCGACTCACTTCGATTTCTCGGTCCGATTCGCTTTTTTCCGGCGGGGGGGCCTTGCGCCCGTGCCCGCTCGTTGTGCTTGAGCCCCTGCGGGTGCCCGCGGGGGGCTGCGCCGCGGAGGAGTGCCGAGGGCGAGGCCGTGGCCGGTATCGGCGCTCCCCGGCTGCCCCGCTGCAGCCAGAGGCAAAGGCATCGTTCGGCCAGTCGGGGCCCCCAAGCTCATAGGAGGAAAGGATACCGATACCGCTATCCTTTCGTCGTTTTCGCCTCTTTGGGCCTCCTGGGGAGGCCCTCGGCCCTCGTCGCCACCGCTGGATTCGCCTCGGAATTCTGGTCAGAACGCACCCTGGGAGATGCCAGGGGAGTAGCGGTATCGGTGCATCCCCACAGCGGTGTGGTGACCACACCATGTGGTGAGTCAGTCGGGATTCGGAGTTACCGCGCTGTTGTTGGACTTGGGTCGTTCCAGCTGGGGATCTACCCTTCAGAACCCGAAGGAAACAGCCCATATCCCCATCTGGGGGTGTAAGGCAGCTAATGGAGCCCAGGCCACGCCCACGGGACCCAGTGGGTCGGCCAGACGCAAACAATCGTCGATTAACCATATGGGAAGTGGAGGGGCAGACGAACATGCAGAAAATACAGAAGACGCTGCGAATCCTGTGATTCGTGTCTAGTTCTTTGTGTGTGTGTGTGTGTGTGTGCCTGGACCCCTCACAGACGGTGTTCCACTTGTGATTACAGGGGCCCCAAAGCCGTGCGGTGACGGACTTGCGGTGAGGTCTCGGGGGCCCAAGCCTGGCCACGCGCATACGAGCGGCCCCCGTGCAGGAGCGGCATCCGGTGCGCTGGTGCCCGTTCGTTGCACGCGGCGCGGTAGTGACGGCCCGCGTGCGGTTGGCCTTCGGCCCTGCGGAAGCCCCTTGCAAGCCGAGCACCATGAGGTCACTCGGGAGAAGAGAATCAGAAGAGGAAAAGGTACCCAGACGGCTACCCTCTACCCGTTTTTCCCCTTTTTGTTGTCTCCTGTGAGGCCTTCGTCCCCACCGCTGGATTCGCCTCGGAATTCTGGTCAGAACGCACCTCGGGAGAGGTCTGGGGAGTGACGGTATCGGAACTTGTTGGTTTCCGCAGGGGGGCACACCTCATCGGCCACGCGCTGCGGGGGGCAGAGGGGGAAGGGGGAGGACTTCTTAGAATGGCCCCTGGTTCTTAGAAGGCGCGGGCCGTGTCTGCAGCTGCAGTGCCCGCGCCTTCTAAGAGGCGGCATCCTTCGAAGAAGCCTTCCCACCTTCCACCTAATTACCCCCTCTGTGCGCGCCGCCAACCTCCTTACGTGCGGCCGACAAGCGGGCTCCCGGCGTTGTCGGGCCGTTCTCGCAGGCTCTTCGGCACGTCGCGGGGGTCCTCGGCGGATGCCTTCTGTCTGCGGGAGCACGGCGGAGCGAGCTCTCGCGGGGGCACGCCGGCGGGAGGCACTGCAGCGAGGCATGCGGGGCGGGCGAGCTGGCCCCCCTTCTGCCGCCATGGGGCAAGCGGGTCCTGGACGGTCCTGAGGGAAGCGGGCCCTGAGATGTTTCCCCCCGTTCTCGGGGCCCTCGGGGCCCTCGCCGGTCTCTGGGGCAGTCGAATGAGTGCTTCGGGATGAAGGGCTCGTCCGGGAGGGAGGCCCCAGGGTCCAGGGCCCGTTTTCCTAAGAACCCGTCTTGTTGTCAATGGTTCATGGTACGCAAAGGTGCAATGAGGCCCGCGGTGTTGGCAAGCTAGGAAGGTCGAGACCCTGTTCGTTTCCGTCTGCCACCCGCTTCCGTCTGCCCCCCCCACCCGCTTCAAATTCCCCCCAAGGAATTGACCACGTCATCAATTACGACCTCCCGTCCAACTCGGACGACTATGTTCACCGCATCGGCAGGACGGGACGCATCGGCAACAAGGGTGTGGCCACATCGTTGGTGGCTTGCGGAAGTCACGACAGCGCCGCCGAAGCTCCGCTCTCCAGTTCAAGAGACCAAGAATTATATTACGGTCTGCATGCACAGAGGCGTTCTCGAGAGCGAGTCGAAACGATGTGTCCAGATAAGCTGTTGATAGGCCTCCTAGGCTCGCCTGGGGTTTGGATATATGTGCATTCGCATATGGTAAACGGTGTGGGCGGCCGATGGTTGTGGTGGGCGACGTGCGTTGTGACGAGATCTGGAGGCAAGATTGCAACATGTCGGCAGGCAGACTGGGAGAGCAGGGTGATTCCAGCGTCGCAGCGGGGCGCGTACCTCCCTGTCCAAACCAAAGCTTTTGATGATACATCCCAACATCTAGCATCTGAATGCGTTGCAGGGAAGCCCAGTCGCGATCGCAAAGCTGGCTGAAATGCCTACCGTTGGAACACCTTGGTTCTGAATCGGACTTCAGATCTGGTCAATGCGATTCTCATCAATGCGTTTCAGTTGGAATGCACAGTTCGAAATACATCATCTGGTCAATGCGATTCTCTCAACGCGTAGGAAGCGTAGGTTCCGCTCGACTCGGGAATGCCCGTGCGCGCGAAGAGCTGCGGGCAGTCAGGGTCCATTTCGATCCGATCGATCCGCTTCGATATCGATTCCGGCTGGCTTGGTCCGATTCGATTCCAACAGTCCAGCGATCTTCAACGAGCGCGTTCCCCTACTCGCAGATTGCCGACGCGCAAACGTCCAACAAAAACATGTGTCCCTCGGTGCAGTCAGTCAGAAGCCATGCGCCAGCCTTTGGCACGGCGCTTGGGCAAAACATGCACTCACATATGCATAGATGTACGTGCCCTGCCGTGTGGCAGGCCGGTGATACGCTGACAAGACACAGCACGTAGCAAGGGAAGGGGGGAGGAGGAGGAGCGGCAGGGTCAGGAGAGTCAGAGGTGACCTTCCTGTAAACTTGATTGCGCCAGCTTGTACACACATTGAGACCATTGCAGCTTAGGGTGGCTGCGCTTCCGGACCAAGTGCCACTGTCTCGGCGCAGTGCCCTCTGGCTCGCACACCAAGAGCCTTAAACAGTTGTCGTAAGGCAAGCGCGTTATTGTTTCGTATGTTTGCACGTGCTTTTGGCGCAATGTCTCACTCAGGGGGGACAGTGTGCGCAAGCGATAAAACTGTGGCGTTTGAAACTCTAGAATCGTATGCGTGGTGGATTCTCAGAATGCGTCGGAGGCACGTTGCTTGAAAACCATTGAGTATGTTACGGTCTGCTTGTAATGCCCATAAGGACTCCAGCTTGTATAAAAGCTTGGGCACCACGATAGCGTCAAACAGGCGAATATTTCGAGACTTGCTGATACCGGCGTGGTTCCAGCACTTGTGCAGCAATCTGAAGATGCCTTCAGTTTCCCCCAGCCGTCTTGTAACTTCCAGCTTGCTCTCTGCAGCGTTGTTAACATGCCACCCAAATATATTGCTCGTTGAACATTTTAAAGTTGTTGCATAGACGGGTCTCGCACCACCCCTTCATTGTTTATTGTCATTGCAGCGGTTTTCCCCGCATCTAAATCGAGGACGTGATGTTTCCCCACACCAATCGAGAGATCCAAAATAAGATGTAGTTTCAGCGGGTGCGCGCTCACGAGCATCGTGTCGTCGGCGTATAGTATGTCATTGCACACCACATAGGCTGGTTGGCTGACATCCACGGACATGGCGCGGTATATGTTGTCAACGTCGAAGAACATCACAATTAGCATGATAATGAAAAGATATGGAGACAGAGGGCACCCTTGAGCTTTACCTGCAAGTTGTTGCCTCATTGTAGATTCCCTGGCTGGATCTTTCAAAGCGGCGCGTTCTGTAGATTGAAGTTATGAGTGATAGCACGGGCTCCGGAATGCCAAATCTCGCCAACGCCTTCATCAGCGCGTCGTGCTTGATCCTGTCGAAAGCCTTGACCAAATCGAGTAGCACAGCGATCAAACCAGGCTCCTTCGTGCACTGGGCGGCGTCTATCATGCGGCGGGCAATTGAAATTGCATCAATAGTGTTGCGACCCGGTCTGAAACCGAACTGTGTTGGTCGTAACTTGTTTTCTGCTCTTCCTCGCTGCAATCGTTTTTGGGCCATCCAGGCCAGCACCTTGCAGCCCACCGGTAGAAGGGAGATTGGCCGGCAATTTTCTGGTAAATTCGCGTCCCTTCTCTTGAACAGCAGCACCAATGTTGCAATTCGCAACGAATTTGGTATATTTTTGTTTTTCAGCATTTCTGGCAAATTCCCAACATGTTCTTACATGCAGTGGTCGAGAGACGAAGTAGTTTCCAACATTCTGGGGCTATCCCGTCGTGTCATGCCGCTTTGCCAACAGCAAGGGTCTTCAGTGCTTCGGTACGCTCGTCCATGGTGAAATTATTGGTGGTCACGGGTAGCTGCTCTCCCATGTTTGCATTGTCTTTTGGGTGTATACCGGCGTATTTTATACCCCATTGTTCATTTTCGAAATAATTTGCCAATGTATTTGCTCGTTGGTCATTGTCGATTGGCTGTTCCGATGTATTTGTGATGCCAATGGGAGTCTTGGCAGGTGTCTTCCTGAGTGCTTTGACTGCAGCCCACGGCCCTCCAGCGAGTTGTGCATCCAAACATTTGCGTTTGTCTTGCCGCATGCCTTTCTTGATCGCCTTGCTGAGTCGATGCTATCCCTCTTTGTCTCCGTTCCCTCGCGCGTCGTCTCTGTCCCCGAGTAGTGCCAGCGTGCGTGGAGAAATCCATTGTCGTTAGGGGCCTCGAACAGGTACCGGTGCAACGTGTGATGCTTCAAGCATGGCCTCTGCCAGGGTGGCCGCATGACCATCCAGAGACACTGTATTTACGTCGCGTTGGAGTGCAGCGCCAAAGCTATCACAATACTCTTTCCCAATCCCCGGTGCGGACCGTAGCGTTCTCAAACAACATCGTTGTGTGTCCAGACGTCCTCAATGATTGGAAGAGCGTCGGCATCCACCAAACAATAATCCAGTTGTGCAAAATCTGCGTTCGTGGTGTTGCTGGCTGGCCCAACGCCTGGGGCAGGGGCATAATACGACACCAGATGTTCGACAGGGTGGTTGAAGCGCGTATTTGCAATCATCGATTACGTTCCCGGGCATGTCTCAATCAGCAGCTCCTTGTTTGAATTAGGGTCTCATTAAGAACACATTCCCCCATAACATGCGTTTCTCCAGCTCGCCGGTCCCCCAATCTGGTGTTGAAGCCCCCCAGAGCGATCGTGATGTTGTGCTTGCTGTGCTGCGTCCATGCTTTCCCAACGTCGTCGAACAAAGTCTTTCGAGCATCGTAATATTTTCCCGCGTGCGGTGCATACTACACGCTCATAAGATCAAGAATTCCACCCATTACCTTGATCCTGAGAGTTGCAAGGTGGTCTGCCAACAATATGAAGTTGATCACATAATGGATCGCTTTCGGGGCGATCATGAAACCCACACCATAGTAAAGATAGCTTGCAATTTCTGTTCGAGCTCCAGATTCTATTACCAAGTACCCATCACGCAAATACCGCATCGATTCTGCAACTTGCGTCTCTTTCATATTTAGAATACCAATATCGTTAATTTTCATGTGATGTTGGATCTCGGTCAGCTTGCTGTGGTCCCTCTGTGCAATGAATCGTAAATATCCCGCGGCGGATCTGGGTCGCTTGCGAGTAGTTACTTTGCGAGTAGTGGAGCGCGCTTGGCTAGATCCGCTGCGGCCCCACGTTCGCATGGCGTTTTTGTGCATCCTGGTGCAGCCGACTCGACTCGATTCCGACTTCGCGCCGATGCAGCCCGATTCGATGTACACTTCGATCCGATCCGATTTCCCGATCATCTCAAATTGTGACCACGGTAAAACATTACCCACTATTTGTGGAATTTGTTGCGTTCGCCTCCCTGGCGCGCTCCGCGCGCCAGGGACGGCGCTGGGCGCCGGGTCCAGCGCCGATTCAGGAGATCCGCGCGGATCTCCAAACGCGTATGTTTCAGAGTGTGTTTTCACCCCCAGAAAGGCATCAGACACGAGCAATCGGGCCGAGCAAGTCCCTTGCGTCCGTGTGCAATGGGAGCAGCTGCGAGGCACCTCGCAGGAACCAGGGAAATTTAGAGGACCCCAGGGCAGGTGCCCTCATGTTCTTCGCGGTTGGACCCCCCCCCCTCTCCTCTTGACGACGTGTTTCGTTCTGGGTACTTCTAGGGGGCCTTAGGCCTTCAGCGACGGGACTCGTGTTCGTAAGCCACGCGTTTTTGTGGCCTTGTTTCGGCTGTGCGTGCTAGTTTGGGCCCCGAGGCGCTCAAATGTAAGCCGTGCTGGAGCCAGAGAGATCTCGACACCCCTAAGGCAATGGAGCCGCCCAGTGCAAGCCACGCCGCGTTGCTCGGGCAACGCAGGGCGGCGCGAGGCCGCGGGCGGTGTCCCAGAGCATCCCGGGCCCCCAAACAATCAAAGGGGCAGTAAGTAAGTTCGGGGGTTCCCACACCGCACGGTGTGGTGACCACGCTGCGTGGTGAGTCAGCGGGGGTTCGGGGTCACCGCACGGTTTTGGGACGCTCGTCGTTCTCCGAGGACGTCTTGCGCGCCTGGGGCCTCCGAGGTCCCAAAGTCGTGCGGTGACGGACCGCGCGGTGAGGTCGTTGGACATTCCGAGGTCACCACGCGGTCCGTCACCACACGGTTTTGCTATGTTTGGGGGCCTTGGAGAAGTGCGCTTCAAGGTTTCCAGAGTGTTTCATATTTCTGAAAGTTCTGGAACGAAGGCCGCTAAATCAGAGTGAGGGGGCCGCGCTGTACACTGTTCCCGGTTGCGTGCAACAGGTGAGTTTCCGCGGTGTGAATTATTATTGTTGTTGTTGTTGTTGATGCTGTTGCTGTTGCTGTTGATGATCATGTTGTTCTTGTTTGCTGGTGCTGTTTCTGTTGAATTCTCACTACTGAAGAACTATTATTGTTGATCC